ATCACAGTTTGTTGAGTGGGAAAATGACATTTTATGTGGTAAAGACTTATCACAATGCAAAGAGCAACTGGGTTGTTGTGAGTTTTCCGGGCTGTATGGCTATGTTCTTCTGGACATATGGCCATACATCCCGGAAAGCTCACAACAACCCAGTGATTCCAGCCATGAAAGCCTTCGACAATACAAAGAGCAATTGGGTGGGGGTTTTCTTTGGGGGGGGGGGGGGGTGTTGGTTGGTCATAGAATACCTTCATTGTCGGTCTAGTTTTCATAGATAAAAACTGGAGTATATGTAGTCAAGGAACTTCAAAATTAGTGTGATCAAAATGGCAAACGTAATTCATGAGGAAGATCATACAAGCTTGAAGAGGCTGTAGCGGTTTGCTTTTGCCTAAGCCTACTGGGAAGGGCAAGATTATGGTCCCTCCACTCTTCTTCCGGTTGATTTGAGAGCAAACTGCTTTTTGAACTTTAAAATCAGTTTGCAGCTATTGAAAAAGGCTAAGGACAAAGGTGGACCGGGGGGAGGGGGGAGGACAGAAAACTGGGAAATGCTTAAAAGCACCTGAAAAATAAGAGGAAAAGAGAGGGTTAATTAGAACTATTTCTGACAAATGAGAACACTTGGAGAGATTTGTTCTGTGGTCCATTCTACACTGCCATATAAACCAGATTATCAAAGCAGATAATCCACATTATCTGCTTTGAACTGGATTATCTGAGTCTACATTGACATATAAACTAGTTGAAAGCAGATAATCTGGATTTTATATGGCAGTGTAGAAAGGGCTTAGAGGACTGAAATGACCCATTGGGGTGCATGAGGGAAAAAGCTGATTAATTTTTAACCTTCATATTTATTTATTTACTTCATTTCTACCCCACCTTTCTCTACAAATCTGGCGAAATTCAATGCCACACAGGTAAACAAGAACATATTCCAGGACAATGGATTTTTGACTTTCAGAATATACTGAACTAAATGTATAATAGATGCATTCTACCACTTGACAGGAAATTTTGGCATAAGTTTTCATGGGCTGTGTCCAACTCCATCAGATGCACCTCCCCATGTCTCTTTGTGAAATGGCCACTGTTAAGATTATCATTAATTATCTTTAGCATTTATTCCTCCCATCCAAACATGTGCATGAATGTCTTCCAGTTGAGACAAATCTCCATGTATCTGATGAAGCAGGTCCATGAAAGTTTAAGCCAAATGTAAAATATTGCTTTTCATGATTTTGGAATCTACTAGGACCTGGAGATCTGATAAGAGAAGAAATAAACAGTGTTGTATGCTGATTACGAACTATTTTGACATCTCCTTTAGTTACAGATGTTGTTCAGATCTTTGTCTGATGAAAAATAAATATATATATGTTTTAGAAAAATGGCAAACTGTTTTTGAGGTTACCATGTAGAAATATTGCCACCAAGTGGACATTCATTGTGCTTACATTTTTAAAAAATCCAGAAAAAACAGATTCTCAAATGGCTAATTTTTATATCTTTATAACTTTATGTTAAGTTTATTGATGGATTGACTATTGGGGAATAGAAAGAAGTGAAAAGCACGCAAACAATCAGGAGGTTTTAAAGAATAGCCCTTCTGGTGTTTTAAAATATTCTTTCCATCCTTAGTGCCATATTTTTATTGTATTTACATGGTTTTCTGGAAATTTGCTTGACCTGACAGCAGATGTGTGAGATATGAGAAAGCAGATGTATATCAGCAGATGTATGAAATCATAAGTTTTTGTAGTATTGCTCTATCTCACTTGTGCGGGCAACTGTTCTGCAGCAATGTAGCTGGGAGCAACATCACTACCCTTGGTTTCACTCAGCTACCATTCAACTGGATTTTAGGCCCTGTTGTGTACAGTCAGTCCTCTGTATTCACAGATTCTGCATCCACAGATTCAACCATCCACAGCTTGAATTTTTTTTTAACTTCCAAGAAAGCAAACCTTGATTGGGCCCTTTTATATAAGAGATACTTTTTTGTTACAGCATTGTATACAATGAGACTTGACAACGGTTCTGGCCCAGCTTACCTGTCCAAATGTATCTCCCCCTATGAACCATCTTGGAGGTTAAGATCATCTGGGGAGGCCCTGTTCTTGATCCCATGCTCCTCACAGGCTGGTGGGGACGAAAGACAGGGCCTTCTTGGTGGTGGCCCCTTGGCTTTGAAACTCTCTCCCTCCTGACCTTCAGGAAAAAATTTAATCCTGTTTGTGGGATCAAGTATTTGCACAATGATTCCCAGTGCAACAACAGTTCCTCAATGCATTTTTTTCCATGTCATGAGTGACTTGAGAAACTGCAAGTCACTTCTGGTATGAGAGAATTGGCTGTCTTCAAGGACTTGCCCAGGGGACGCCCAGATGTTTGATGTTTTACCATCCTCGTGGGAAGCTTCTCTCATGTCTCTGCACTGGGAGCTGGATCTGACAGAGGGAGCTCAACCTGCTCTCCCCAGATTTAAACTGCTGACCTATTGGTCAGCAGCCCTGCCGGCACAAGGGTTTAACCCATTGTCCCACCAAGGGCTCCTTCTCAGTGCAATAGTGAACAATGATGATTGAAATGGTTTCCGGAATATTGTTTTTGACTGTGCCATTTTAAGTCATTATTTTAAGTGATATGTTTTAATTGTGTGATTTAAAAGTTTATGTTGTTCTATTTGTATATGTATTCAAGGCATCAAATTGTGCCTCTGCTGTGAACCACTTTGAGTCCCCTTCAGGGTGAGAATGGCAGGATATAAATCATTGAGTTGGAAGGGCCTTGTGGCCTTGTGAGCCATTGAGTCCAGCTTCCTGCTCAATACATGACCTCTGGCTAAAGCATCTTCACAAGGTAGTTGTTCAGTTTCTTTCTGAAGACATCTAGAAAAGGACACCTTACCAATGACAATAATAAATAGAGTAAAATAAATGTAATAATAATAGAGTAAAATAATAAATGCAAGATACAACACAAATGAGCAAACAAAATTAACAATAAAAATGATAAAACAAATGGCCACAATTAAGCCATTCTACTTCTCCTCCCAACACAAAAGCCACAAAAGGTAGTAGTTTGGGTAACCTTGTGCTCCACAATGCTCCTACAGATTGGCTGTTTGTCAGCTGATTCCTAGAACTGGAAGCCATGGAAGAGACCCCAAACTTGGGTCCCAGTCCAGATGAGCAGCCATTTCCTGGTCATTTTCAATCTATTTTTTAAAAAACGACTCACCTTTGTCTTTAACCCCGTGGCATCATAAACAATATAGGACTAAGACAAGCTTTGTCACATGTGCCTAATGAAGTTGGCTTTTATTTTGAAAAGTATGGACTATACAATTCAAAGCCTGGAAGGTTCCTCAGACTCTTTATAGATCCCAGGCTAGGAGCAAGAACTTAATTCCCCCACTGAAATCAATAGAAGCTTCGAATATTTTCCATGCACTAGAATGTGGTATACATTAACATCAACTTACATTCAGAGCACAGCTTGGCCTACCTGTTGGGAAACTTTTTCCAGATGTCTTTCAGAAGAGAGGAGAGAAATAAACTGAATGTATGTGTATGTGTACATTACCTAATGTATGACTTGTTTGCAGATTTCTTTGAAAGCAAAAGAGGATTCTAAATTTCTGAACATATTTTTACTGCTGTCTTACACAGAAGATTTCCTTACCAGAAAATCAATCTGAACTATTTGTCCTGAGTCCCTGTTAGGGGTGTAATTCATTGCTAATTTTATTCTTTGATAAAATAATTTTAGTGATGTTTAGAACTTAGTCTGCACAAAATTTGCATGGGGTTTTTTTTTGACAGAAAAACATTTTCCGCACCGAAAACATTTTTCTGCACAGTAAATATGTCTACACAGAAATATTGTAACAAAATTCATAAGAATGTTCTGCTCCTTGAAGACAGCCAAAATCTGCTCTTTGAAGCAGTTGCTTTGGTCTAGAGCAGTGGTTCTCATCCTGTGTGTTCCCAGGTGTTTTTGCCAACAACTCCCAGAAATCCCAGAAAAGCTCTTCGGTTCATGTCAATAAAGGATCACAAGCAAATGGTTGGCAAAAAGGAATGTATATGGGGGAGAAAATAGACAGAAAAGACTTGAAGAACTTAAAAGTTGACCCCTGCTTATCAATGTTGTTAATCTGGAAAAAATGGCAAAATAAATTACAAATAAATAAAATTGACCCTTTCCTGTGAGAAACCTTGGAAAATAAGGACAAGACATTTGGGAGTCTAATTAGGGCACTGATGGAAAGGATAGGGTATCTCATGGAACCCAATGGAGAAATAATAAAGTGAGATAAGATAAAAGACAAATGTGGTCAAGGGAACTGGATAGCATGGTTAGGCCTGTACAGTAAAGCTCAGGCCATGAAAAGAAGAGAAGTGGCAGAAACGACGCTTCATGCAGTCATGCCAGCCACATGACCTTGGAGGTGTCTATGAACAATGCCAGCTCTTTGGCTTAGAAATGGAGATGAGCACCACATCCCAGAGTCAGACATGACTGGACTTAATGTCAGGGGACTACCTTTACCTAGCAGAAACCCTGCTAGACAGAATAATTAAAAGGAAAGTAGAAATAGACAAAGGAATTATTGGGCTACTGTATGAGTAACTAATCACCTTAACTTACAACACAAAAACAACCCTTATAGAGAATTTGAAACAAGAGAAAAACTTCAGTGAGAAATTAATTGGATCTTGGATTGACAATATTCATAAAATTAACATTTGAGGATCAAAGAAACCCAAAGGAAAATAATCTCTAACTGGTATAGACCCCCCCCCCCCCCAATATGGGTGATACATAATTAAGGAATGTATATAATGTCATTTAAGGAATATTTACCTTTGGAAAAATGTATACTGAAAAAAGTTCTGTGTGGCAAAAGTTTGTTAATTGTTGGGATGTATCAAATAAAATTATTAAAAAATAAAAAAATAAAGGATCATGAAAACTCCTACAAATTCATGTAGCCCTTAACCATTGCTGTTTATTAAAAATAAGCACTGAAAATCACCAAGAAGTATAACAATTGCCACATGCTACAAAGTACAATGAAAACAGTTGTTTTATTAACAAAGGCCCATCTGATTTCTTTTATTAAAAGCAAAATAAGTTGCAATCTTGTATGCGTCTTTTCAGAACTATGATTCAGTGGAACATACTCCAAGGAAAGTGAATACAATTTTACACCCCAAAACTTCATAGGTTTACACATTACATTTTTTTAAAAAACTGTCTGGGGTATGAAAATGTCTCTGAGTGACATAAATACAACACACTTCTCTATCGTCACTGGGTGCCAAATATGGTTATAAGTACAAATGAAAAGCCATTCATCTGTAGGACTAGCTTGTATTCATCTCTAACTATAAGACCGAAATAGAAAGATAGGATGGTAGTATAGTTGTTATTCATTCCTCAGTTTGATCTGGAAAGATGATCTTCACTGAGAGATTCTCACCTTCATTTGCTTTCAGAAAGCCATCTCTCTCCTTGCGGACTAGTTGGCTATACTTGGCATTGGCCAGCCACCTTTCAAATTTGGAAAAAAAGATAATCCCGGTTGTACCTAGCACAACAAGACACGTCAGCAAGCCCAGAACCATAAAACAGATTACTTGGTTCTTATTGAGAAAAGGCTGACGGTTTTCAATTGTCTCTTTGATGGTCAAGACTTCCCGTTCTTGGGTGTGAACAGGTTTGTGGTGAACTCTCATATGGGAATGATGATTTAGCTTATGTCTAGCCTCCCCATTCAGACTTTTGTTTCTGTCAGCAGAAGCACAGGTAACACCAACAAAATGGGGTTTGCAGCGACACTCAAAACCTCTGCTGGGGTGCACACGACAAATCCCACCATTTTGACAGGGGTTGCTAGCACAGGCCGACACATGGCTGCTGCACAAAGCCCCACTGTATCCTATGGGGCAATGGCAGTGGAAGCCTCTGCCGATATCTGTACATGTGCCCCCATTTTCACATGGGTTTGGCTCACAGTCATCAATATCAATTTCACAAAAATTTCCAGTAAACCCAGGAAGGCACAGGCAGGAAGCATGAGGTGCAGACCCATCATCATCCACACAGGTTCCTCCATGCTGACACGGTGAACTGCAATTCAAAGCAAGCAGAAAATGCAATCCTGTTAATACACTGGAAACAATGACTAAGATCCTACAGCAAAGCATGTGGAGTATAACACTCCATACAAAATGGAACCTTGGAGTCTTAGTAGACTATAAGATGAACATGAATCAATAGTGTGATGTGGCATCTAAATAAGCCAATGCAATTGTAGGCTACATCAAACCATAGGAGTATAGGATCAAGATCAAAGGAAGTATTAGTATCATTCTTTTCAGACCTCACTTTGAATACTAGATTCCCATTCTGGGCACCACACTTAAAGAAAAGACAAGCTGACACACGTCCAGAGAAGAGCAACAAAATCATAAAAGGGCTGGAAACCATGCCCAGTGAAAAATGACTTATGGATCTGGGTATGTTTAGGCTGGAGATGAGAAGGTTGAGAGGAAACAAAATAGCCATGTTTAAATGTTAGAAAAGAATATCATATTGAAGATACAGCAACCTTGTTTCCTGCAGATCCAGAGACTAGGACATAAAACAGTGGTTCAAACTGCAAGAAAAGATATTCCACTTAAACATTAGGAAGAACTTCCTGATGGTAAGAGCTGTTTTGACAGTGGAATATGCTGCTTTGGAGTGTGGTAAAGTCTCATTCTCTGGAGATTTTTAAACAGAGGTTGGATGGCTTCCTGTCAGGAGCGATGTTATTGAATGTTCCTGCATGGTAGGGGGTTGGATTGGATAGTCATTGTGGTCTCTTTCAACTTTATAATTCTATGAAGCTTCATGCATCTTTGAAGGCCCAACAACACTGCCAGATGTGAACACTAAATGCGGGGAGAAAAAGGTAGAAGTGCCCAGCAATCTTAGTAGTCAATCAAGAGAAATTAGGTTGTTCTCCAGAAGGGAGTGAAAAGGACCTCATTTCTTGTTTCCTAGCTGCAGAGCCACAGTCAGGGGTGGAGATGCTCCTGGTTCTCTCCTTTTCACTCAACTCACAGGCAGCCATAGCAGCACTTTCATGATGTGATCTCTATCTTGTGTGTTTCTGTGGTGATCAGTGGATTCTATGCAAGGAGCCGGTGAAAAGTTCCTTCCACCTTGTCAAAAACAGACATATGCATGCATAGCCTCATATAACAAGTCATAGGTCACCAACATGATTCTAGCCTCCATTTTTCCTTCAGGTTTTCTGACTAATACTATTCCTCTGTCACACCTAAGAGCTCCTAAGGATGTCTATATAAATTCTAAGAAGTCATAATGCCATTGAACATGGAAATATTATATCTCCCCCCCCCCCTTCAGCTCCCAGGGATGGAGCCACCAAGACACCAAGAAGATATGCAAGTCACCAGCACATTTGAACCAAGGAATCTAGCAGAAGGCCCAGAATTTCCAGAACGGGCTTTGAAGAGTTTGGTTAGCCTGATTTGCACTGGTCTACAATGCCTTCCCAACGAGTGAAGGATATTACAACCAGTCCTCCTAGCAGCAGTCATGTTGGCTTGTGAAGCAAATAGATCCCCACTGGCTATTAAAAATCTCCAAGGGTTTTCTCTTCAATCTAAACAGCCTGCTTGAAAGTGAACAAACAAAATTCCCACCTTCCTCAAAAGGAAGGGAACAGTGCGTACTTCTCTGTCAAAAAGTATGGGGAGCAATGTGATCAAATTCCATCAAAACTCATCCTTTTTTAATGCTATTGGTATTGATTCCAAAGTTAGTAATTGACCTTTGGTATGTATATGGAATTTTGTACTTACTTCATTTTCCTATCCTATTTCTGTTATATTTTGGGGTCATAGCTTTTGACTAATCTGTTATTGCTATGAAGGTGACTACTGGAAAAGTTCTTTAGGCCTCAGGGTCATGACTCCCAGCTGAGCTCTAAAACCAGATGCAGGCTGGGCTGGGAACAAACAAGACTGGAACAGCAGACTATGAAGTGATGAGATAACACACACATTTTTGTGATAACAACTGGATTCACCCACCATTTTGCAGGTGAACAAGTACTTTTGTTATATGTTTCTGCATGGCAGGGGGTTGGCCTGGATGCCTTTGGTGGTTTCTTTCAATTCTATGATTCTAGGGTGGGCATCTACAGAGATAAATGTGGCTGCCAAGGTAACAATGTCTCGTGTGTCTTGGTGGCTCCGTGAAGGCTGTGTTCGTCACTGTCACAGCCAACTCAGCCACTCCTCACCCATCCCCCCCTCCTTTTTTCCTAAAAGAGAAAAGAGAAATCACCTCTTAGAAGCCTCTAAGAACTTTGATTATCCTTCTACAAAAAGATGCAAGCCTTCTTGCACCTTTTAAAAATGTGGAAATGTCAGCTTCTCAAAATATTAGAAGTGGATTTGCAGCAATTTCAACTTTTAATTATTTTTTTTACTTGGGCATTGGACCAAGACATGTCCCAGGGGTAGAAAAATGGCCCTCGATTTTCAAAATATCAAAATCCTTGCTGTAAATATTAGCTTAACAATGCAATAACAACAATTGACAAGCATTACCCATATTTACCCATTAACTATGCAGGGTCCCTTTTTCACATGGCAGCTTTTCCCTGTATATCCTTCAGCACACAAACAAATGTAGCCACCATTGCCTGTCTCGACGCATGTGCTTGAGTTATTTGTACATGGTTTCGAAGCACAGGGGTGAACATCTGTAATAACAATAAGAAACAAACAAAGAAATGTTTTCCTTATGCTCCAGGGCAATTTGTGAGGTATATTTATTTACTTAAATTTATGAAAAACGCATGAGTTGAGCTTATACTAATTCAGAGCAGTGATCCATCCAGCACAGGGTTGAGCAATTTCTGTCTGTCCAGATGATACTGATTGTGTGTCTGATACATCCTTGAACTACAGCCAGCAATGACAGATTGTTGGAGTTGGAGTTGAACATCTCAAAAACCACAAGTTGAATGTCTTCAGTCCAAAGATTGGAATGATGACAACTTGAATAACATCTTTCAGGATCCCCTATCCAGCATGTTGCAGCCATGTTGAACTGGGAATGCAGAAAACAATGGCCCCATCTACATTGCCATATAATGCAGTGGATTTAATTATTTGTGGATTGCTGTATTTACCAATGCCAGTTTCTCTCTAGGTATTCATAGGGCCTCCAACATGTCTCTATGGCCAACTTCAAGTCTTCCAGAATTGCATTGGAGAGCTCACAAATATCTAGAGAAGTGTTTTGTCAGATTAAAAAAAATTATATTCACAGTTTTTACTTATCACAGTGACTTTGCACCCCTAACTTCTGTAGAAGGGCTACATACTATAGTTGTATATAGTCAGTCTTCCACTTCTACTGGAGGGATAAAGACCTCAGTAAAAATGAAAAACCGCAAATATAAAAATTGCTATTTTTGTTTAGCCATGAGAACATCTTTTTAGGAATCTCTAGGTCCTCCAGTACAACTATATGGTCAGATATCACCAGAGGTCAGTGAACACAGAATCACACTGGAGGACCTTGAGGTTACTGGAAAGATGTTTCTAGTGGAAGCAGACCATAGAGAAGCACCGGAGAACCCGAAAGATTCCTAAAGAGAATATTTTAATCAAATCTGTGAATAATCAAACCTGCAAAAGTTATATCCTCAAACATGGAGGATCGACTGCTGGTGGAAGGAAAAAGGAAGGAAACTATTGAAATCACTGCACATCTTCATCACCAGAGGGAGCTACAATAGTCTTGATCTGACATCTTCAGCACTTCCCGCTCGGTGAGAAAGGAAACTTTTTGCAAACCTGTATCACAGTGGCTGCCAATCCACCCTTCTTCACACATGCACTGCCATGCTTTGACACAGGTCCCATGCAAACAACCAGGGAACGGGATACATTGATCACACAGAGGGCCTTGCCAACCAGATCGACATCTTGAAAGAGAGAGAAAAAGCAATTTGCAAAGCAGGCTAAGATCTCTTTTGTAAATATGTTGAGGACTTTAGAAAATCACAGTAAATACACTATTTCTTAACAGACTATCTTTTAAAAAGTGGGTGGGGAAATGGACTTCATTGAAGGTGGCTCTAAAACATTGAAACAGCTGTTGAAAAGGTGTAAACCCAACAATGAAATACTGATAGAAATAAAAGAAAACCATGTTCCAGTGTCACTCTATAGAGAGAAATGCCAGGATTGCTTTACACTAGTTTAGGTTCTTCGCATATTGTAAGCAGTTGGTTTTTACAATATGTATCAGTAACAAAGATATCAAAGTAATTTTGAAACCAGGCCACAGGAAATCACCCAGAGGGCCACGGCCTGCCAACCTCTGCCCATGTTAAATGTGCACACAAGTGGGCAATTGGTTCCCAATTTCTAGCGTGCACTCTGGTAGATTGGTATTGCCGTTAGTTTCTCTCCAGCACCAAATCAATATATGGCTTTTAATTAGGCCTTGTCACCTAATTTACTTTACAAATGGTCATGTTTTTGGCTTTAACCATTCTGACCTTTTAAACTGTTTCAGCTTGTTAAAATTTCAAATATGTCAGTTGGAATTATTATATTATACTTTGAAACTAGTGAATGGTTTGAAGCATTTGCTTTGTTTTAGTTATATAACCAGAATACGATCTGACAATACAGTTTTTGTTACAATAAAGGCTTCCGTTATTTAATCAACCCCTATGTAAATTTATCTTCCTCTTGGGATGTAAATATTTTAATAAAAACATACATGAAAAATAGGCCCTCCCCTGATCCATAATTGCGATTGTTCCAGTGAAATTCTATGTGGTACAGCTGGATCAAGGACAAAGATTCCAAACAAACAAAATGGGAACACAAAATTTCCACCCCCCTCTTGCCAGTAAGCATGGCTGCAACAAGGAATTTAATAGAGGTGTTGCTTCTGATTGTTGCAGTTTTTTCCCTTTCCATATAGAATCATAGAATCATAGAGTTGGAAGAGACCTCATGGGCCATCCAGTCCAACCCCGTGCCAAGAGCAGGGCAATTGCGTTCAAAGAACCCCCAACAGATGGCCATCCAGCCTATGTTTAAAAGCCTCTATAGAAGGAGCCTCCATCATACTTCGGGGCAGAGAGTACTACTGCTGAACAGCTCTCACAGTCAGAAAGTTCTTCCTAATGTTCAGGTGGAATCTCCTTTCTTGTAGTTTGAAACCATTGCTCTGTGCTCTAGTCTCCAAGGGCAGCAGAAAACTAGCATGCTCCCTCCTCCCTATGACTTCCCCTCACATATTTATACATGGCTATCATGTCTCCTCTCAGTCTTCCCTTCTGCAGGCTAAACATGCCCAGTTCTTTACGCCTCATAGGGCTTGTTCTCCAGACCCTTGATCATTTTAGTTGCCCTCCTCTGGACACATTCCAGCTTGTCAATATCTCTCTTCAATTGTGGTGCCCAGAATTGGACACAATATTCCAGGTGTGGTCTAACCAAGGCAGAATAGAGGGGTAGCATGATTTCCCTGGATCTAAACACTAAACTCCTATTTATGCAGGCCAAAATCCCATTGGCTTTTTTTTGCTGCAGCATCACATTGTTGGCTCATTTTTAATTTGTTGTCCACAAGGACTCCAAGATCTTTTTCAAATGTTCTGCTGTCGAGCCACACATCCCCCATTCTGTATCTTTCATTTCGTTTTTTCTGCCTAAGTGGAGTATCTTGCATTTGTCACTGTTAAACTTCATTTTGTTAGTTTTGGCCCATCTCTCTAATCTGTTCAGATCGTTTTGAATTCTGCTCCTGTCTTCTGGGGTATTGGCTATCTCTCCCAATTTGGTGTTGTCTGCAAACTTGAGGATCATACCTTCTAACCTTTCATCTACGTCATTAATAAAGATGTCGAACAGGACCGGGCCCAGGACGGAACCCTGCCGATGGCACTCCACTCATCACTTCTTTCCAGGATGAAGAGAATCCTGGAACCCTCTGGGTTCATTCATTTGACCATTTGACCATTACAGATCCACCTAACCGTAGTTTTGCCTAGCCGACATTTGACTAGTTTGACTAGTTTGTAAGATCAGAAGCTAATGGATCTCTTTCACCCAGTCCAGCTACTGGTTTCTACAGTAGGTGGGATGGCAGTTACATAGGTTTACAGTAAGACTACATAGTCTTACTAAATACAAACCAGTTATGGAGCTGTAACTCTAGGCTACAAATCTGAAACTGCAATACTGAGTATCAGCTGATTTTTTTAACACAAAAATAACAGGGTCAAATCAAATCCAGTGGCAGGACCTTTGTTTTGCCACTGGATAAGCACAATGATATACAACACTTTCTTGTTTCATTATGGTGGGAAACCTTTCATCTCATGTTTTATCCTGATAGAATACTTTATCTTCTGTTGCTAGTTTTTTTTTAAAGAAAATGTCTCTTGCCAAAACTATAATAAATCAAGTGTGGATAAAATTATCATAGCGTTCTTCTGATTAAAACATTTATCACTACACCACATTTTCCAGACAAATTACGCTTGTGCCCTTGGTTGTTGGAACTGAAGTAAAAATGCAAATCCTATTACAACTGAAGGAATAGCTAAAATGCTGTTGGTTAACTCACCTGCATTCATTTGGAACTTCACAAAACCCATTCACTGGATGGCAACCAGGTTTGCAATCAGTTCCTAAACAATAAGACATATAAGGTTAATGTCCTTATTGTGTTTTAGAATGAATCCCTGTATCAACAGAACTGATATACAGTAAATAGTTTCACTTATCCATGGCTTCACTAATTCTTTTAGGGCCTTTTGTACAAGCTACACCCACTTTTCAATACCTTCATTATTCATCCCATTAAAAATAACATAGCTCTCCATTATCTGCGATTTTGTGTATTTATTTTATTTATCGTATCAGGAGCCAACCAAGGGTACAGTTGCAAGGCATTTGAAAAAAAAACGCACACACAAAGACATTATACTAAATGTCCTTTGACCAGTAGCTGGCCACTTGGAGTGCCTCTGGTGTTGCCGCAAGAAGGCACATTGTGCATGTGACAGGGCTCAGACTGCATTGTAATAGGTGGTCTGTGGTTTGCTCATCTCCTCACTCGCATGTCATGGACTCCACTTTGTGACCCCATTTCTTAAGGTTGACTGCCTCTCGTGGTGCCAGAACGCAGTCTGCTCAGCGCCTTCCAAGTCATTCAGTCTTCTGTATGCCCAGGAGGGAGTCTCTCATTTGGTATCAGCCACAGCTTTTGGTTCCGGGTTTTCACCTGCCACTTTTGGACTCTTATTTGCTGAGGTGTTCCTGCAAGTATCTCTGTAGGTCTTAGAAAACTATTTCTTGATTTAAGGTGTTGGCATGCTGGTTGATATCCGAACATAGGATGATATCCGAACATAGGATTTAATGTATGAATGCATCGATATGGGGGCTGTGCTTTATTCCCATTCTAAATTGTCATCTTACTAAATATAGTGCAACTTATATTCTTGTGTAAACACACACAGGATTGTGGTCTAAGGTTGGCATGATATCTATACATTGATTTGACTTTAAGTCAGATCAAAAATAGCAGGGGCCTGAAAGAATGTGATCTGCCCAAGATCATCCAGTGGGTCTCCTTGGCTGAGCAGGGATTTGAACCCTGACCTCCTAAAATCCTAGACTAATATTCAAGCTACATCATCATGTCTAAATAGAGTCAACCCGTTGAATCAATGGGATTTATATAAATGTCAACTCACCCTATCACAGTTGACTCAAGGAATTCAGCCTAGCTGGGAATAACCAAGAGGATTCAGGACAACATAACATTTATACACAGCATGGATTCAAAGAGAAACAATTGTGGGAATTTGAGGGAAAGGATCAATTGATCCACTAATTAAGTCTTTGATCACATTTTATTTCTTACCCACCTCTCCCAAGGTGGTGGTACAATATAGAATTAAAATGCAATATATAATGAAAAATATACAAAACAATTTAAAACACATAGATTTAAAACACTTTAACAGAAGATTCAAATGCAAACCATTACACATTAAGATCCATATTTATTAAAATGTCAATTCAAAATTAATACTTTAAAATAGATTGGGCAGGTCTGCTGGAAGAGAGAGGTCTTAAATGCATTTTCAAATTTGCACAGCATATTTAATAGCAGGCCTTTCCACAATCCAGTCTGGTGCTGAGTTCTGGGTTGTTTACATATACGTTCCCAAGAGGACCTAAATGTATGGGGCAGATTGGAAAGAAGAGAGATCCCACAGTCAACCTTGACCCAAACCATGTAGGACTTTAAAGATATAACTTTGCATGAAAACGAAGGGCCCTTCCACACAGCCATATAACCCAGAGTATCAAGTCAGATAATCCACAGTATCTGCTTGAGCTGGGTTATCTGAGTCCACACTGCCATATAATCCAGTTCAAAGCAGATAATGTGGGATTTTATACAGCTGTGTGGAAGGGGCCTAACTGGCAACCAGTGGAGTGCCATTAATATTGGTGTGATGTCCTCTCTCCTGGGTGCACCTGTAACCAATATGGCTGACATATTTTGAATTCCTTGGAGTTTCCAAACTACATATAGAGATAGCATAATACATAGCACATTGCAGAAATCATAGAGTGGAAAGAGATCATAAGGGCCATCCAGTCCAACCCCCTGCCATGCAGGAACAAACAATAAAAGCACCCCTGAAAGATGGCCATTCAGCCTCTGCTTAAAAACCTCCAGAGAAGGAGACCCCACCAGTCTCCGAGGCAGCATATTCCACTGTCAAACAGCTCTTACCATCAAGAGGTTCTTCCTAATGTTTAGGGAAAATCACTTTTCCTGCTATTAGAATTCATTGCTCATTGTGTCCTAGTCTCTAGAGAAGCAGAAAATAAGCTTACCTCCTTGTCACTGTGAAAACCTTTCAAGTATTTAAACATGGCTATCATGTTCTTCTCAGTCATCTCTTCTGCAGGCTATACATACTCAGCTCTTTTAGTCGCTTGGCTTCCAAACCTTTGATCATTAGGGCCGCCCTTCTCTGGACACATTCTAGCTCAGGCATGGGCAAACTTTCTAATTTCGGGAATGCATGGTCCACTCCGGAGTGGAGTGGGTGAGCTGGGAGGGAGGGAGGGGGTTTTCCCCAAGTCCCTCCCCTGCCCTTTCCTCCTCCTCCTTGTCTCTTTCGGAGGCAGAAAGTGAAGGAAAGACAGGAAGGGTTAGCCTTCTTCAGGATGAGATGGTAGACGGGAGAGAAAAAGTGTATCCATTATACCTCATATTGCCAACTCCTGATATATAATCCTAGAACTGGAAGAGACCACCAAAGGCCATCTAGTCCAACTCCTTACCATGCAAGAAGGCACAATCAAAGCACTCCCGATAGACAGCCTCTGCAGAAAAGCCTCCAGAGAAGGAGACTCCATCACACTCCAAGGCCGCCAATGCCACTCTCCAGGAAGTTCTTCCTAATCTTTTCAGCTGAATCTCTTTCCCTGCCATTTGAACTCATTGCTCCCCTTGTGCCCTGGTCTCTAGAGCAGAAGAGTCAGTCTTCCCCCTCCTCAATGGGACACCCTTTTAAATTTTGAAACATGGTTCTCACGTTTCCTCTCTAGCTTCTCTTCTCCCTGCTAAACATTGCTAAATGGACACATTATCCCATTTTCCCTACCAAATACATTGGCTGCCTTTAGGGAGTAGGTACCTTGACTTAGTGGTAGGCCATTCTTTGTTGCCTCAGGCAGGAAAATGCCTTGAAGGGAGGATGCAAGGAATGTTTTTCATCATTGGAGGATGAAAGGTCCCTTAAAAAGGGTTTACAAGTCTCCTGGCAAAGCTTTTGTTTTCTTCTGTTCAAAAATAATGCTGAGGCTAGGAGAAACTTTATCAAGTCTTTCACAGCTGCGACCTGTTTCGCTGTCCTAGGCATGTCTCTACTCCAAAATAAGTCCCTTTGTGTTCACAGCAGGATATCTTCTCTTAAGTGTGTCTACTCGAACTGCAATCTTGAGCTTGTACATGTTAATATAGCATATTTTGGATTCAGACCCCCACTACAAATTAATACTAATTAAAGTTTTCTTTCTCTAAAAGAAACATCAGGGAATACTGAACCAGGATTTATGGCAGATCTACAATCAGTTCCATTGTGTATGTACATTACACCACTAATGCTTATATAGGCTGAGCATTCTTTACCTGGAATTCTAAATCCAGAATTGTCCGTATGGATTAATGAAACAGTAGCACCTTTGTTTCTGATGGTTCAATGTCCACAAACTTCATCTAATACACAAAATCATGACAAATGTTGACTATCAAATTACCTTCCTGCTGTGGGAATAAGGTGTACATGAGCCATAATAAATGAGTTTTGTGTTTAGGCTTTGGTGTCATTTCCAACATATCTCTTTATGCATTTGCAAATATCTAGAAAGCTGAAAAAATGTGAAATTGAAATCACACCCATTCCCAAGTATTTTGGGTAAGGGATTCTCACCCTGGCCTGACCTTCTTTGAGATCCAGCCCTCTACTCAATTCCAAGAAAGTGAAGGTGCATTAATTAAGGTGGTTAATTAATTCCCCATATCTTGGGAAGTCAAGAGTTGGCTATGGTCGTCCACACTCTGTTTACATCCCGAATAGATTACCACGATGCACTCTACTTGGGGTTGCCCTTGAATACTGTTTGGAAGTTTCAAGTTATCCAACAGGTGGCAACCAGATTGCTCACTGGAGTGGCATGTATACAACCCGCCTGTTGCGTCAGATCCACTGGCTGCCAGTCTGTTATTGAGCACAATTCAAAATGCTGGATTTTGCCTATAAAGCCCTAAACGCTTCTGGCCCAGTTTAACTGTCCAAAAATATCTTCCACTATGAATCATCTCAAAGTTTAAGATTGTTTGAGGAGGGGCCCTGCTCTCAGTCCCGCCTTCTTTGCGGGGATGAGAGACAGGGCCTTCTCAGTGGTGGCCCTTCAGCTGTGGAATTCCCTACCCAAGAACATCAGATCAGCCCTCCTCCCTCCTGACCTTCCGTAATAGAGTAATAACATGGCTCTTTGAGCAAGCCTTTGGAGAACCTATGCAATATACAAATATAGAATTATGTGCAAGGACTATTGGAACAGCCCAGATTATGATTATGAATATCGTGGTTTAACAGACATGATATTGGTTTAAATGTTTTGATGTATTTTATAATCATATTTTAATTGTTTATTTTAATTTTACATTGTTTTTACTGGCATTGAATAGCTGCTTATGTTGTAAAGTCGCCTTGAGTCCCCTCCCGGGTTGAGAAAGACGGGGTAGAAATGTCTTAAATACATAAATAGTTTGATGGCACTTTAATTGCCCTGTTTCAATACTATGGAACCCTTGGATTTGTAGTTTGGTAAGGAACTTACTGTCTTTGGCATAGGAGGCTGAAGACCTCATAAAAATACAGCTCCTATGATTACATAGCACTGAATAATCACCGTTAAAGCAGTGTCAAACTCAGTTAATTTTACAGTATTTTGGACTCCAACTCCCACCATCCCTAACAGCCTCAGGCCCCTTCCTTTTCCCCCTCAGCCGCTTAAGTGGCTGAGGGGGAAAAGGAAAGGGCCTGAGGCTGTTAGGAATGGTGGGAGTTGAAATCCAAAACACCTGGAGGGCCCAAGTTTGCCCATGTCTGGAACAGATGCATCTTAAGTCTCCATGAACTCTATAGGGGTGTCTCATTGCACAGACAGGGCTCTGGTTGCAATTATATTCCCAACACACTTCCTAGTACAAAATATCAATTCCACCTTCCCAGAAACAGAAAACAATAATAGAATCACGGAATCAGAGAGCTGGAAGGGAACCTCAAGGGCAATCTAGTCCAGCCCCCTGCTTTAGAGAGACCAAACGCCCTCCTGACTAAGAAGATGTGATGCAGTGGCAAAAAAAAAAAAAACCAAAAAAAAAACCCCCAAAGCCAATGGGATTTTGGCCTGCATCAATAGTGGTCTAGTGTCTAGATCCAGGGCAGTCATGTTACCCCTCTATTCTGCCTTGGTTAGACCACACTTGGAATAGTGTGTCCGATTCTGGGCACCACAATCGAAGAGAGATGTTCACAAGCTGGAATGTGTCCAGAGGAGGGCGACTAAAATGATCAAGGGTCTGGAGAATAAGCCCTATGAGGAGCGGCTTAAAGAGCTGGGCATGTTTAGCCTGAAGAAGAGAAGGCTGAGAAGAGTCATGATACACCACTTAGGCAGAAAAAAACAAATGCAAAGATACAGAATGCGGGACGACTGGCTCGAGAGCAGTACATGTGAAAAAGATCTTGGAGTCCTCGCGGACAAGAAGTTAAACATGAGCCAACAATGTGATGTGGCAGCAAAAAAAGCCAATGGAATTTTAGCCTGCATCAATAGAAGGCTCAGGAGCATAGTGTCTAGATCTAGGGAAGTCATGCTACCCCTCTATTCTGCCTTGGTTAGACCACACCTGGAATACTGTGTCTGATTCTGGGCACCACAATTGAAGAGAGATGTTGACAAGCTGGAATGTGTCCAGAGGAAGGCGGCTAAAATGATCAAGCGACTGGAGAACAGGCCCTATGAGGAGCGGCTTAAAGAGCTGGGCATGTTTAGCCTGAAGAAGAGAAGGCTGAGAGGTGACATGATAGCCATGTATAAATATGTGAGAGGAAGTGATAGGGAGGAAGGGGCAAGCTTGTTTTCAGCTGCCCTGGCTTCAAACTACAAGAAAGGAGATTCCACCTGAACATTAGGAAGAACTTCCTAATGTTCAGCAGTGGAACTCTCTGCCGCGGAGTGTGATGGAGGCTCCTTCTTTGGAAGCTTTTAAACAGCGGCTGGATGGCCATCTGTCGGGGGTGCTTTGAATGGACTGGATGGCCCATGAGGTCTCTTCCAACTCTGTGATTGTATAAGAGCTGGAGACCCGGCTTTGGTAGGGGGGATTGACAGGGCAGAAATCCCCGAGGATGGATGCCTTACTCAAGAGGAGACTGGGTTGGCGTTGGAAAGGCTGCCCCCTCCCTCGACGCGGGCTCCTCTTGGAGGGAGTGCAAAGCCAAAAGGGGCCCTGGCTGCAAAGGCACCGAAAACGGGGAGTGGGAGAGAAGGAGCTGAAGAAGACAAAGCTGGGAAGCGATGTGTGTGATAAAGAGACGAGGAGAGGGAGAGAGAGGTCTTACCTTGGGCGAGAGGGAGGCAAGCGAGGAGGAAGCACAGCCCGCACCAGAAAGGCATCCCTTCGCCGGGGGGCGGGCAAGGGGCTCATGCCCCGCTCCACGAGTCCAGGGCAGGCGAGGCAGGCGCGGATCCGACGGCGCTCTTTCTTTCCCCGGGAGCCCGACAGAATGCGGCTCGCCTTGCCGTCTGCTCGCAAGGCTCTGGATCGCGCGTCGATCTCGCCTCGCCTTCGGGATCTGAGGGGAGAAAGGGAAGAGGGAGGGATGCCTTGTCTTCCCCCCTCCCAAGGCTCCTTCCTCTCCTGGTCAAGAGAACACCGAGGGTGTCTTGAATCTCCGCGTTCTTCTGCAGAGCAGGGACCACCAAAGCCCTCCCGAACCTCCCGCATTCTATTAGAGGAGGAGGAGGGAAGGAAGGAAGGAAGGAAGGAGAGGATGCATTCTCACGTTCACGCCCCCCACTTGCGGGCATTTCTACTGGGGAAACCAGGAATCTCCTGGTTTGGAAGTGCGACCCTTTTGGAGATTAATTGGCATTCATACTATAATCATAACCTTGTTAGAGATCGGAACCTTTTTGTAAAGTATGATCCTCCTTGGAGTCCTCATGGACAAGAAGTTAAACATGAGCCAACAATGTGATGTGGCAGCAAAAAAAGCCAATTGAATTTTAGCCTGCATCAATGACTTAAGCATTGACTAATGCTTAAGTCAATTATTATTTTTTATTATTTACATCACTTTTATCCCGCCCATATCAGCCCGAAGGCTGATGGAGCCCCCGGTGGCGCAGTGGGTTACACCCCTGTGCCGGCAGGACTGAAGACCGACAGGTCGCAGAGAGGCGGATGAGCTCCCTCTATCAGCTCCAGCTCCTCATGAGAGAAGCCTCCCACAAGGATGATAAAAACATCAAATCATCCGGGTGTCCCCTGGGCAATGTCTTTGTAGACAGCCAATTCTCTCACACCAGAAGCAACTTGCAGTTTCTCAGGCCGCTCCTGACACGACAAAAAAAAAAGTCCTAAGGCGACTCAGGGCAGCGTACAAATCGGCACAATAAGATGCCATATAAAAATACAGACATCGGTTAAAAGCAAAAAAATCACATTGTTGTTGTTGTTCATTCGTTCAGTCATCTCCGACTCTTCGTGACCTCATGGACCAGTCCACGCCAGAGCTCCCTGTCAGCTGTCACCACCCCCAGCTCCTTCAAGGTCAGTCACTTCAACGATGCCATCCATCCATCTTGCCCTTGGTCGGCCCCTCTTCCTTCTACTAGTAGAAAGTACCTTCTACTTTCCCCAGCATAATTGTCTTCTCTAGGCTTTGCTGTCTCCTCATGATGTGGCCAAAGTACTTCAACTTTGTCTCTAGTATCCTTCCCTCCAATGAGCAGCCGGGCTTTATTTCCTGGAGGATGGATTGGTTGGATCTTCTCGCAGTCCAAGGCACTCTCAGAACTTTCCTCCAACACCACAGCTCAAAAGCATCGATCTTCCTTCGCTCAGCCTTCCCTAAGGTCCAGCTCTCACATCCGTAGGTTACTACAGGGAATACCATGGCTTTGACTAGGCGGATCTTTGTTGCCAGTCTGATGTCTCTACTCTTCACTATTTTATCAAGACTGGACATTGCTCTCCTCCCAAGAAGTAAGCGTCTTCTGATTTCCTGGCCACAGTCTGCATCTGCAGTAATCTTTGCACCTAGAAATACAAAGTCTGTCACGGCCTCCACATTTTCTCCCTCTATTTCCCAGTTGCCAATCATTCTTGTTGCCATAATCTTGGTTTTTTTGATGTTTACTGCAACCCAGCTTTTGCACTTTCTTCTTTCACCTTGATTACACATTACAATACCTTTAAAAACCATAAAAGCAATAACAATAAAAATTATAAAAACGATATCTTCTTGTTCAATCCTCAACCCTTCCATCATCTTAGCCGTTCCTAGTTCATATTCCAATTTGAGTTTATCTGGTCATGCCGAAGTTCCAAACGCTTGCTCAAAGAGCCATGTGCTGTCGCACATTAGGCCTGTGCATCAGAATGTAGACAGGACATAAATTCTGTGTGCCCAACGGGACGCCGGGGCTGCCTCAGATTAAAGGCCTTTGGATTTCCTTAAGCAGAGTCTTTAGATTGCTTAAATGTTCAACAAAGTTCTTTATTAATAAAAACAAACAGGTACTTCAAGGCTTTCTTAATAGTCTATTGGCTCTCTCAATCTTGTCCACAGGGAACAGGCACTATCTTCATAACTGTAACTAATGGGGAAATCCTTAACTTTTAATCTGGGCAGTCTGTCTTTGCTTCTGTTGGCGTGGAGCCCCTACACCCGGTACCAACTGCTTCTGGCTTCTGCGAGAGACCCTTACCAAGCAGAGCTTTGTAGACTTCCAGGGGAAAAGAACTCAAGCTTCCGTGATGGCTGACTGAAGTCCTTCAGCAAAGGAGCTGTAAGGCTGTACAACCCCGACCAAGCTGTGGGCTGTATATCTCCCCGGCCAAGCCATAGAAGACAAAGCTTTCTACAGGAGCTCTTAGTATTATGTCCTGCATGGAAATCTTCTCTGTGTGGACTGACCCAAAAAGGCTCCTATTCCCTCCAAAACCCCAAAAAGGGGGCGGGACCAGGGAACCTAACTATAATTGACAGGTGGCTTGCCCTATGATTGCAGCCAAAAGAAGCCACCTATCTGCAGAGTCCCTGAAACTTAGGACTATGACAAACATTAAATGCAAAACAAACAGTGGGGGGGGGGCTGATCTAATATCCCTGGGCAGGGAGTTCCACAGCCGAGGGGCCATCACTTGGAAGGCCCTGTCTCTTGTCCCTGCCAGACGCAGCTGTGAAACAGACGGGATCAAGAGCAGGGCCTCCTCAGAAGATCTCAACTTCCTGGAAGGTTTGTAGGGAGATATGTGTTTGGATAGATTAGCTGGGCCAGAACTGTTTAGGACTTTAAAGGGTAAAGCCAGCACTTTGAATTGTGCCCGGTAGAAAACTGGCAGCCAGTGGAGCTGGCACAGTAGCGGAGTCTTTTCCTTAGTGGCGAATATTCACTAAATCAGACTAAAGAGATTAGGGAAAACACAGAGACCAGTTAGATATGATCTCACAAATATTCCTAGTGAATATACTGTGGTGCTGGAGGAAAATACTCAGAGTGCCTTGGACTGGCAGAAGATCCAACCAGTCCATACTTCAGGCAATAAAGCCCGACTGCTCACTGGAAGGAAGGAGATTAGAGGCAAAGATGAAGTACTTTGACCACAATGCTGAGAAGACAGGAAATATTAGAGAAGATAATGATGCTGGGGAAAATGGATGGAAAAAGGAAGAGTGGCCAACCAAGGGCAAGATGGATGGAATGCTCCTTTAAAAAAAAATTGACTTTTTAAGGAAAATGAAGGGGGGGAGAGAGAGAAAAAAGAAGGAACTCAGTTTGAAAAATACAGTAAGAGGGAATAAGAGAATTTAGAGGGTAGGTAAAAGGGCAGGACAGAGAACTAACTACGTATAAAAGGTAAAAAGGTTGCCCTACTGGTGGGAGTAGTGGTAGAGGGGTTGGGGGGAGGAGAAGAAAAAAATGGGATAAAAATAGAAATGGAAAAAAGGAAAAAAAATATGAAAAATGAAAAAGGGAATAAATAAATAAATAAAATCTTCTTGTTGACTTCCAAATCTTTTTCCTGTCCGGGGTGTTAGTTTCTTAGATATTAATTGTAATTCATCTCTCTATCATCTCATACTTGCATCATTTTCTTCTGTTTTTTTAAAACGCATTTAATGAAGTCCAGTCTGTGGGGCATGTGGGTTTTCCTTGATGTCCTTTCAAAAAGTAAGTCAATCTGGCATCCTTGAAGTAACTGACTCAACTTTGAAGGATCTGTGGGTGGCCACAGCCGAGAGGGAGCTCTGCCATGGGTTGGTCCATGAGGTCACTAAGAGCTGGAAGCAACTGAACCAATAAATAACAACAAATCCACTAGTATTGATGTAAGGCAATTTAGGTTTCTCAGTTGTTAGACCAGCGTTTCTCAACCTGGGGGTTGGGACCCCTGAAGGGGTCACGAGGGGGTGTCAGAGGGGTCACCAAAGGCCATCAGAAAACACAGTATTTTCTGTTGATCATAGGGGTTCTCTTTAGGAAGTTTGGCCCAATTCTATCATTGGTGGGGTTCAGAATGCTCTTTGATTGTTGGTGAACTATAAATCCCAGCAACTACAACTCCCAAATGTCAAAGTCTATTTTCCCCAAACTCCACCAGGGTTCACATTTGGGCATATTGAGTATTCGTGCCAAGTTTGGTCCATCATTGTTTGAGTCCACAGTGCTCTCTGGAAGTAGCTGAACTACAACTCCAAAATTCAAGATCATTGCCCACCAAACCCTTGTAGTATTTTCTGTTGGTCATGTAATTTCTGTGTGCCAGGACCGGTTCAGTTCCATTATTGGTGGAATTCAGAATGCTCTTTGATTGTAGGTGAACTATAAATCCCAGCAACTACAACTCCCAAATGACAAAATCAATCCCCCCCGCAACCCCACTAGTATTCAAATGTGGAAGTATTGGGTATTTGTGCCAAATTTGGTCCAGGGAATGAAAATGTATCCTGCATATCAGATATTTACATTACAATTTGTAACAATAGGAAAACTACAGTTATGAAGTAGCATCAAAAATAATTTTATGGTTGGGGGGTCACCATAACATGAGGAACTGTATTAAGGGGTCGCAGCATTAGGAAGGCTGAGAAACACTGTGTTAGACTGATATCCGATGCTTGGCAACTGTGACGGTCTGGATGAGGATGAACAAACTGAAATTGAATCCCTAGAATCATAGAGTTAGAAGAGACCTCATGGGCCATCCAGTCCAACTCCCTGCCAAGAAGCAGGACAATTGCATTCAAAGCACCCCAGACAAGACGGAGGTACTCCTGGTCAGCTCTAAGGCCAAAGAGGGTATGGGGTTACTGCCTGTGTTGGGCGGGGTTACATTCCCCTTGAAGACACAGGTTCGCAGTTTGGGAGTTCTCCTAGACTCATCACTGAGCCTGAAACCTCAGGTTTCAGCAGTGGCCGGGGGAGCTTTTGCACAATGAAAACTTGTGCATCAGTACCTTGGGAAGTCAGACTTGGCCATGGTAGTCCATGCTCTTGTTACATCTCACATAGACTATTGTAACATGGTCTATGTGGGGTTGCCTTTGACGGTGGACCGGAAGCTTCATTTAGTCCAATGGGTGGCAGCTAGATTTCCACTGGTTGCTAGTCTACTACTGAGCCCAATTCAAAGTGCTGGTCTTATAAAGCCCTTTACAGTTCTGGTCCAACTTACCTGTCTGAACGCATCTCCCTCTATGAACCTACAAGAGCTTTGAGATCGGCTGGGGAGGCCCTGCTCACT